AATTTTTAGAACCTTCAATACCCCACTGACAGATCATCCAAGCAGAAAATAAACCCTGGACCTAAACGGGATTCTAGAACAAAAGGGCCTACCAGGGATTTACAGAACTTTTAACCTCAAAGCCACTGAATATACATTCTTTTCCACACACGCAATATATTCCAAGATTGATCATATTTTATGCCACAAATCATGGCTCAACAAATTAAAAAAATGAAATCATACAATTTATCTTATGAGATTACAATGGAGTAAACCTAGATATCAACTCCAAAAGAAACACTCACTTTTACACAAAATTATGGACCTTGAAAAAAGTGTTGCTGAATGACTCTTGGATCAATGATGAAATTAAAATAGAAATCAAAGGATCCTTGATTGAATGACAAAGGGAACTCAAGCTATCGAAATCTGTGGGATTTAGCAAAAGCAGTCCCAAGGGGGGAAAAATCACAGCCTTAAATGTCTACAGCAAAAGACAGAATAAGCACAAATTAACAATCTAATGACACATCTTAAGAGACTAGAAGAGGAGCACACCAAGCCCAAGCCAGCAGAAGAAAAGAAATAACTAATTTGAGAGCAGTCCTAAATGAAATAGAAAATGAGAAAATAATACAAAAGTGTGGGTCATTGAAAATATAAACAAAATTGATAGAACTCTTGCTAAATTAACCTTAAATTGAAGAGATAACTCAAAGTTCAATCAAAAATAAAAAACAAAATATAACTGATACCACAGAAATACAAAATATCATCTGTGACTACTGTAAAAATCTCTATGCACACACTCAAAAGGTTAATTTTGTGGATAATTTTTTTGAATCACACAGCCTCCCAAGGCTCAATCAGGAAGAAATAGAACCCCTGAATGGAAAATAATGAGCAATGAAACTTAAGCAGCAATAAAAAATCTTTCAACAACAACAAAAAAGCCATGAACCAGGCAGATTCATAGCTAATTTTTATCAGTAACTTAAAAAGAGTTGGTAGCCATTCTGCAGAAACCATCCCTTAACATTGAGTAGGGGAAATCTTTCCCAACTTCTACAAAGCCAGTATTACACCGATACCAAATCCAGGAAAGGATACAACAATAGCAGAAAACTATGGACCCATGCCACTTATGAATATAGATGCAAAAATCCTCAATGAAATAAGAGCATATCAAATTCAATAAAATATACAAATAATCCACCTTGACCCAGTGGGCTTCATTCCCAGGGATCCAAGGATGGTTGAACATACATAAATCAATAAATACAATTGGTCACATAAACAAAAGCAAAAACAAAGACAAGATGATCATCTCAATAGATGTAGAAAAACATCTGACAAAATTCAGCTCCCTTTCATGATAAAAATCCTCAACAGAATAGTCATCAAGAGAGCATAAGCTAAGATTATAAACACCATATACCACACCCCACAACCAACATTATAATGAACATTAAAAACCTGAAAGCAGTCCCAGTAAGAATTGGAACAAGCCAAGGATGCCCATTGACACCTCTTCTATGCAACATAGCTCTGGAAGTTCTTGCCAGAGCAATTAGGCAGGAGAAAAAAATAAGGGGTATCCAACTCATGAAGGGGGAAATGGAACTATTGACTTTTGCTGATGATATGATCTTATTTGTAGAAAACCCTAAAGACTCCACCAAGAGACTCCTGGAATTGATAAATAAATTCAGCAAGTTTCAGGGTACAAAATCAATGTACACAAGAGTAGCATTCCTATGCCAGAATAACTGTAAAGTGAGAGCCAAACCAAAGACCCAACACCATTCGTAACAGCTACAAAGAAAATAAAATACCTAGGAATATACTTACCTAAACAGGTTAAAGATCTAAATTCTACCTGTTCTACTCTCACTTTTCCAGGGAGCTTTCATGTTTCTCACCTTTAATCCAACCCTTTGATTTTCCTTCAGTACAATTACCATGGGGGAAGAAACTTCTAAGCACCCCATCCCCTCCTCATTACCATCTCCTCTTGAAGTTTGTTCCTACTCTAAAAATGAAATCAACATTTACTTCATGATGTAGTTGTGACAATCCAGTAACATCTATTTTAAACACAAAATTTTATTTGTTTTGTACAATAATAACTTAGCTTTGTGCTACAATTACATATTTACTTGCTTTATTCTTGCTGAGGGATAGAGCACTACATGTTCAATGCCATCTCTTTGGACACCTAGCACAGTGTCATTCACAAGTTAGAATTTTCACTTGTTTAGCAAACATTCAGTGGCGCTTGAGATGTACCAGACATTGTCCTGGACTTGTGGTTTTTTGCAATAAACAATCAATCCTTGCTTTGCTTGATGAAATCTCCTAAATTGATCTTCTCAATTGTACTTACTGTGCATTCATCCTGAAGATATGGCTGTAAAATGTACCTTATTTACCTCCAACTCCTCCTCCCAGGAGTTTCCCTGGGCATATAATACAACCAGTCTTCCTTAGCTGTCTGATTAAATGGGACAAAAATGTATAATACAGCACCTGAGATGGTGCTTATGGCATGGCCTTTATTGAATGTGCTGACATCCACTGAGAGTGTGTTCATTCTAGTCCTCAAAGATGTGTGTTTTCTTTGTTTACAAGTCTTTTGGTCCACTAACTTGTGATTTCCTGAGAGTACTTACATACTGTTAATCTTGTATTTCTCTCCTGCATTCAGAAATAGCTTAGTGCCTGAATCTAGTAGATGCTCAATAAAGTGATTATTGGTAGAAGGAAATACTAGAAAGGATGATAAAGAATTTTACTGAACTATAATAAATATTTCAGAAGTATGTCTATTTACTGTATTTTTGTTTAGTTAGCAGCTGGTTAATGAACAACTAGCATGTGCTATTATTAACTATGCTAAATGCTACTACACAGCATATTATGCAGCCTTGATTGGATGCTGCCTTTCTTGTTTAAGAAATTGACAATTTAAGAGTCCTCAAGGCAAATGGGAAATGCATTCTGTAAAGTTATGGGAAAAGATCGAATTTAAACATTAGCTATCATTAACCGAAGAGCTGAATTTGATATTAGTTTATTAAATCCAGCCTTGGATTTCCCAAGCTTACGTCTTTCAGTATAAATTAAATCAATCCTTGAACACTGGGGGATAAAAAGATTGAAAAGTAGCCAGATGCCCCAATAGGGGCAAGATGCCATAACCTGGAATCTCTCTACTAATTCTACACTTGAATTTGATTTAACATCTGTTTGTTTGGAAAACTCAGTAAGAGAATATGACCACCTGCCTTTCTGTGTAATTTCAAGAAATATGATCACTTGGAAAAATTCTTTTCAAATGTATCCTTTACTGAGAATTACAAATTCTAGCAGCTTTCCTGCATCATATATAGACACTAAAATTGTACATGAAATTTAAATCTGTCTTTAAAAAGTGGATTGGAAATAAGCTTTCATAAATAAATTGGTAATATAAGAAAACTCATTACTACTAAGCAACACAATAAGTGACTTTAATAGTATTAAATTCATATACCAAAGCAAGGGCCTTGGATAAACACAATAATTATTTAAAAAATTACTTCAAAAATCCCTTTGAAGAAAGTATTCAAAGACTCACTACAAGTTAAAAATAAAACAGTACTTTACTATTAATCATATTATATTTATTAAAAAGTCACAAGCAACATGAGAAAGTATAAAAACACAAGTTTCAGAAAATAGACTTCTTGTTTTTAAATCAATTTTATGCACTGAAATACCATTAAGAAATATAAAATCATAATGTAATTATAAAAATTATATAATGTAAATATAAAAATTATAATATAAATTATAATTATAAGCATTTAGTGTTATTTACTTAAAGGAAGAAAAATTATAGCTGTAAGGGACATACTAAAAATTATAGCTGTAAAGGACATACTAATACAAAATTTTAAACAGAAATTTTCAATGTCATGCTTATGCTAAATATATAAGTATATACATATATCTATATGTGTGTGAATGTATATACACATATATTATATAGAATTATGCAGCAGGTCTTGGAATATAGGGAGTAGATAAGTAAATAAAGACTTTATATCGATAAAGTTTCTGATACTGTTGTCTGATTTTTCTATATTAAATATCAGATGTATTATAGGAAAAGGACATGTTTAAGATTGCAATCACATTTTCAAATATAAGGCAATTAATGTTTTCTAAGGCAGCTTTTTAAAAAAGACAGTAGCATCATGTAAAAATAAACATTACAAGAAACTGAGTAAAAGAAATTTACTATGAAAAGATGAATACAATTTACAAATGGAGCACATTTCTTTCATTTCAAAAACAACTGGGCTGAGGCCCTCATGTCAGAAGAAACCCGTCTAAGAACATCTTTGTCTTCGTGTCATGAAGAACACATCCCATACTGCCTACTGACTACTGTTTTGTAGCAACATGATCAATTTTACACAATAAAATGCCACTGAAAAATATAGAATTTATGACTTGAATTGTATTATAAAAATATTGTCCAGGTGTTATCATTTTAAGCAAGAGAAATCATAACTGTATGAGACATCTCACAATATACACAAAAGGCAGCCCAAGTGGGAAGCTAATATTGAATAAGAGGCAAGTTAATAAGGGTGTATTCATTCACTCACACATGATGCTTTCAATTAATCGGCACAAACAAGTACAACCCATACTTTATTGTTGGGCTTTCAATGTTGACTGATAAGCTGGAGATTACAGGGAAGTAGTGCATTTGCTGTGTTTTATTACCTTGTGTGGATACATATTTATCCATCATGTAATAGAAAGGAACAAAGCAGTATTAGTCAACATTAGAATGTCATTAGTCTCAACATTAGTCTAAGTCAACATTAGAATTTGAGGCTTTAACTTTTATAAAGTACTGCCCAAAATGTCATATTCAAAATTTAGAAGTATAACTCCAATCTTAGACATTAGAACAGTTTAGTGACTAGCAAAGTTCTTCTTGAAAGAAAAACAACTGTGTCTTCTGTGTCACATGAAATAGGCCACACAGGTACAAAAGGCAATCTAGCTCTTCTGACACAAACATTTTCTATATAAGGCATCTGTGACTAAAAGAGGATATGTGTAAGTGTATGAAAGTGTTACGTATTAAAAGCAAGCTTCTTATCAGAGCACTGATGTCTCTAATCTGCTCAGACATCTTGACTAGAGCTGGCTTTGGTCAGCTCACTCCTTGATAATCTGATTCTGCTCCCATGTGTAGGCACCTCCTGATTGTCCATAGTGGTAAAATAAGAGAACAGGTTTGGAAAATACAAATGTTAAGATCAAAAATACACATGTTTTATTCCATAAAAAATCATATTTCCCAGTGAAACTTTTGTAAGTTTTGCTGATTGAGATTTTGATACATGTGCACAAGTAAGCTTTCCTGCTACAATAAAACATGTTTCTGTCTGTTTATTTTAAATAAAGATGAAGAGTATTATTTTGTCATATGGAATCAAGTTTGTTGGACATGCTGATGCAGAGACATAAGAGAGGGTTACAGACAAAAGCCATGTTCCTTTATCCCAACAAAGATTGCCCTTAAAAGCCCACCATCTTGCTACGTACTATTATGAGCTCTCAGGGATTCATTTTTCTTCCTTTTGTGTCTCTAGGGTATTAATTTTTCATAGTATTTTAAGTACAAGTCACAAGGTTTTACAATGAATTCCTCTTTACCAAGGAGACAGAAACATCCATCTTTAGATGATATTCTTTCTTGCATACAGACTCTTAGTACCTGTCAAAGCTAACATTCAATAATAATAATGTGCAAAGCAGAAAATTATACTTGCAAATAATTAAGGATTGATTATAAGCCAGGCCCAACTTTTCTAATTTCTTTCTGTTAACAATAATTGATGATTGGCTCCATGCCTCTATCTTGATGAACGCTGAGGTGGAGCACTTTCATAATGCACAAAGTCCTGAAATTAGAAAAAAAGATTTTGACAGATAGATAATCAGGTGCAACCTATACAATATGATCATTTAGAATTAATTAAGGGGACTTCCTATTCTGGTTTAAAATAACTAAATCTGATGAAATCTTTTTTGAAGACAATTAAATGTAAAGAGCGGCAATTACAATCTTGAAAATGTTAGTTTATACATTTTGTACCAATTAACTAAATTTCATCATTAACAGGAGGAAAAACTGGATAATCTGAGGATGGTACAACACCAAGGAGAACACTGACAGCGATGTGTAAGGAAGTGAGGATGGGACATTGGCTGTAAAGATTCATTAGGAAATCATTTTTTTTCATGAGAATGATAGATAAATGCAGAGATGCAGTGATTGCAATTACACCCACTGCATGCCTCAGATCTTCTACTTCAAAATGTAAGTGATCTTGATCTCCAGTTTACAGAGGAGGAAACTAAGGCTTGCAAGTGTTAAAACCTTTTGCAAAATATGGAAGTAGTGAGTAGCACCAACTGAAGTTGGCTGAGTGTCAGAGACTATTGCCTTTCTATTACATTACACTGCTTCTGATCAGAAAGAACAAATCTCTTAGCATAACTAAAAAACAAACAAAAAAAACAACTTACAATGAGGAAACAGGCTCCAAAAATCATGGCCTTCATCTTCACATCCAAGTCCAAGGGGAACTGAATCTCAAAGTGGTCAGCATCTGTTGTTAGAGACATCACACCATGCCACTTCCTAATAATGCTGCCAATGTGGACACCATCGGGGGATGTGACCTAGAATGACAAGTATGTAATGTTATGTGATCAAAAGGCATTCGAGTACATATTTTCATGTTTTACTTAGAAGAGGTCTATACTGACACTATTCAAACAACAGAGGAAAAGAATATGGTAACTAGATCATTTCAAATGAGGAGATAATTACAGGCTTTGTAAGCAATGAGATAAAGGCAAAGAAAAGGATTTTTCTCTTTCTTGAGAAAATGTTATAATCTATTATAGGTTTTCCATGCTACCAGTGTTATCCTATTTCTTGAGGATGCTATCAGATTCCTATCATGCAAATATCGTCTTGTGATAAGTTTGGGACTCTCATTACCCAAAACCTATATTCCTATCCTGGAAATCTTTGGACAAAATTGCCAAAAGTTTAATAAATGAATTATATCAGACTGTTTAATCTCAGAAGGTTTAGTGTTGTAAATGGCTTCTTTTTATTTTTCTCAGACCCTAAAATCATAACAGGAGAACTTTTTGGAAAACATCAAGTAATCTACTAACAATAATTTTAAAATCCTTTAATGCTAACTGGTTAGGTATTTCTTTCCTCACACTACTTTATTCTTTACATAAAAAAAAAATGTCTAAAACCAGATTATTCTGAAGTCTGTTATCACACATAGAAAAAAATTAGCCAAACATATTTACATATGTTCACCTCAAAAACAGAGTCTGAACCACAGCCACAGGTTGAGCATGGCCCACGCACTCTCATCTTATTCTCTTTCTTCTCATTTTGAATGCTGTAAACTGCCCGGCACAAACTCCAACGTTCTCTAACAAAGCCAAGGGTGACGCCAGGGGGACATTGCACCTCCATCTGCAAATAATTAGTGACAGAGATTAGGATGTTACAGGCACATGTATACACTTATACACAGATACTCCATATAGATGGGTTTGTATTCACCCAAGACCAAGGAAATTATTGCTAAGAGAGAACATCTTCCATTTTACCCAAACCATTCATTCTTAAGACTGTATTTTAGTGAACTGCCTCAAAGTTAGAGTTCCTTTGAAATAAAGAGCAGACTTAATTGATGTATATTATAAAATAACCAGTTGTCCAAGTTCAGTGTCCCTAAGGTACATCACCTGTACTTCTCTGTGTCAAATCCCTAGAACTTGGCTACAAAACAAACTTAGAAAAACATGTTCATGCTGCTTGCTATGCAGGATTAATGTCCTTAGTCTTTGATCTAGAAGTCACATGTCTTCTAACACAATAAATCAGACAACAACAAGCTAACTTCTCAGATTTTAAGTTGGATAAAAATGACATCCTAGATGCAACAAAACAAAAGAGAAAAGATACACTCTGAAAATGGTATATTGTAGAAATACCAAAGTGTGTGTATAGGTATATAAAGAGGAGTTTTAAAATTTTGTTCACTATCCTATTTAGCTAATTATCTTTATAACAAGCATTTGTGAAAAATTGACATATTCCAATTACAAAATTAACAAATTATTTACAAAGAAAAAAGAAAACAAACAAGATTAAAGCAGAAATAAATGAAAATGGGCTCGGCGCCTGTGGCTCAAGTGGCTAAGGCGCCAGCCACGTACACCCAAGGTGGCGGGTTCGAATCCAGCCCAGGCCCATCAAACAACAATGACGGCTGCAACCAAAAAATAGCCGGGCATTGTGGCGGGCACCTGTGGTCCCAGCTACTTGGGAGGCAGAGGCAGAAGACTCGCTTGAGCCTAGGAGTTGGAGGTTGCTGTGAGCTGAGATGCCACGGCACTCTACCCAGGGGGACAGCTTGAGGCTCCTGTCTCAAAAAAAAAAAATTTCAAAAAAAGAAATAAATGAAAATGAAAGCAAAATGATCATTCAGAAAATTAACAAGACAAAATGTTGGTTCTTTGAATAGATATTCAACATTGATAAACCTTTGGGCAGGTTAACTAGAAACAGAAAAATAAGATCTTTAATATTCTCAATCAGAAATGAAAAAGGGGAAAGAACAACAGATACCACAAAGAGATCATATCCAGTTAATACAAAAAACTCTTATGTCTAGAAACTTGATAATGTGGAGGAAATGGACCAATACCTGGTAATGCATCCTCTTCCTAGACTTAACCAGGAAGAAAGAGATCTGTTGAACAGACCAATAACAAGCAACAAAGCTGAAGAAACAATAAAAAGGCTCCTTCCAAAAAAAAAAGAAGCCCAGGACCAGATGGCTTCATACCAGAATTCTATCAAACATCCCAAGAAGAGGTATCACCTATATGGCAGAAACTATTCCAACTATTCCAAAACATTGAGAAGGAAAGATATCTTCCTAATACATTTAATGAAGAAAACATCCCCCTGATACCAAAACCAGAAAAGGATCCAATTAAAAGAGTTATAGACCAATTTCACTAATGAATATCAAAGCAAAAATACTCAAAAAAATCTTAGCTGAGAGACTGCAGCTACACATTAACAAAATTATACATCATGATCAAGTAGGCTTCATCCTGGGGATACAGGGGTAGTTTTACAAATGTAAATCCATAAATGTAATTCACATCATAAATAGAAGCAAAAACAAAGACCATATGATCCTCTCAATAGATGCTAAAAAGGCATTCAATAAAATTCAGCACACTTTTCTGATAAGGAACTTAAGAAATTAGGCATAGAGGGACATTTCTGAACCTCAGAGAAGCCATCTATGACATACTCACAGCCAATATCATAGTGAATAGAACAAAACTGAAAGCATTCCCACTTAGAAATGGAACCAAAGGAGGATGTCCATTACACTGCTATTACTCAACATAGTGCTAGGAGTTATAGCCAGTGTGATCAGGGAAAAGAAGGATATTAAGGGCATTCAAATGGGGGCAGAGATCAAAGCCTTGCTCTTTGCCAATGATATGATCTTATACTTAGAAAATCCCAGAGACTCAACCACAGACTTCTGAAAGTGATCAAGAAACATAGTAACATCCCAAGGCATAAAGTAAATATCCAAAAATCAGTAGCCTTTGTAATTGCCAACAACTATCAAGCTAAGAAAGCAAATCAAGGATGCAATACCCTTCATAGTAGTCTCAAAGAAAATGAAATGCCTGGGACTATATCAAACAGAAGAGGTGAAGGATCTTTATAGAGGGAACTATGAAACCCTGAGAAAAGCAACAGCAGAAGACATTAACAAATGGGAGAACCTACCATGCTCTTGGCTGGGAAGAATCAATGTGTTAAAATGTCTAAACTACCTAAAGTAATCTATAGATTTCATGCAATGCCCATTCAAATACCAACACCGTACTTTAAAGAATATGGAAATATGGTTCTTTGATTTGTATGAAACCCGAAAAAAAAAAAAAAACCATATAGCCAATGCAATCCTTAGTAATAATAACAAATGAGGAGGCATCACTCTACGAGACTTCAGGTTATAATACAAATCCACAGTGATCAAAACACCATGGCATTGGCACAAAAATGGAGACATAGATCTATGTAACAGAATTGAAAACCCTGAGAAAGAAAGAAGCCTCTTATCACCATCTGATCTTCAATAAACCAAATAAAACTATACACTGGGGTAAAGAATCCCTATTCAATAAATTGTGCAGGATAATTGGTCAACCACATATAAAAGACTACAACTGACTCCACACCTCTTACCACTTACAGAAAATGACTCATAATGGATAAAATATTTAAATCTAAGATAAGAGACAGTAAAAATCCTAGAGGAAAGCACCAGAAAAACTCGAGATGATACCAGACTGATGAAAGATTTCATGAAGAAGACAGTACTGGCAATGGCAACATCAGCAAAAATAAAAAAAGTAAAAGGGAGTCAATTAAGCTAAAAAGCTTCTGCACAGCTTAGGACACAATAATTAAAGCAAACAGACAACCTTAAAAATGGGAAAAGAGATTTGAATGTTATGAATCTGACAATGGGGTGATAACTAGAATCTACAGAGAACTTAAAATTAATCAACAAGAAAAGGGCAAACATTCTCATCTATCACTGGGCAAGAGACTTGAACAGAACCTTCTCCAAAGAAGAAAGAAGAATGGATGAAAAAACACATGAAAAATGCTCATCATCCCTAAGCATCAGAGACGTGCACGTCAAACCCACACTGAGATATCACCTAACCACAGTGAGAACAGTCTAAATGACAAAATTTCAAAGCTGTAAGTGTTGGCATGGATGTGAAGAGAAGACTTTACACTGTGGGATTACTAGCTAATATAGCCTCTACAGAAAGAAGTATGGAGAATCCTCAAAGAGCTAAATGCAGACCTTCCATTTGTTCATATAATTCCATTACTAGGTAGCTACCTAGGTAACTACCATTATATCACAAGGACATTGGCCACTCAATTCACAACTGCCAAGACATGGAAACAACACAAGTGCCCATCAACACAGAAGAGATTAATGCACTGTGGTATATGTATACTGTGGAATACTATTTAGCCATAAAAAAGGTGACAACATCTTTCATATTTACATGAATGGAGTTGAAACACATTCTTCTTAGTAAAGTATCACAAGAATGGAAGTGCAAGTATCCAATGTACTCAACACTAATATGAAACCAATAGAAAAACAGCTCCATGCCCTTATAAGAGAATAACACGAGTATATTCAAGTGGGGGGAGGAGGAAAGAGGGAAAGGGAAAAGGGGAGAAGGAAAGGGGATTGGAGAGCTCACCCCTGATGGAAACATGGTGAGGGCGGACAGCACACCCCCGGGATGAAATGCTCAACAACAACTTGAACTTGACCTTAGAAACACAAACAATGAGACCAATCATTTCTACTCTCAAATTAATATGAATTTTAAAAATGATTCATGATGATTAAATTATGCATTAAAAGCTTAAGTATAATTTTATTGACTGTCTCTCTGGTGTCACATATACTATCCTAAGGAGTTGCAGAAAGGGTTACACAGGAAATAGGGCCTTCAGGAATTGTCAGATAAAGATATGATTGTTCATACATACAAATTCACACCTATATACAAGCATACACATTTGATAGCTACCTATAGCTGTTAGCTTCTATGATGTGAAGCCTAAGAGATAAAAATCAGAACTTTCAAAAAATAAATTACTTTAAAAAATATACCATGGAATACTCCTCAGACATACAAAGGAATGAACGACTGGATGTGTACCAACTTGTCTGAATATCAAGGTAATTACACTGGATGGTAAAAGATTACATATACGATTCTGTTTATATAACATTCTTGAAATGACAAAATTATAGCCATGAAGAACAGACTAGTGGTTAGTAGGGGTCAGGGACGAAGAGGAGATAGGAAAGTGGGTCAGGTAGTAAGAGGGGATTTTTGTGATGATGGAACAGTTTGGGGTTTGTATTACACAGACATGTACAGAAATGGACTCAGCTGATAAAACTGCATAAACTAAACACATGCTCACATACCCACAAATGAATACAAGTAAAACTGAAGAGATAAAACAAACTTAGATAAAATTATGGGATAAAACTTTCATTAATTGGACTAGTTTGCAATTTTGATTTCTTTTACTCTACCATGGGCTTCCTATAAGATGGCCTTTGATGAAAAAATAATCCCAATTCACAAATATGAAGAAAAATGCCTACTATATTTAAAAGGGTTGAGGACAAGAAATAGAGATTCACTTCAAATATCAGGCTGTTATTACAAAAACAGTAATGACAAAGGAGTAAGATATCTGAGAACAACAGAGAATATTTATTGAGTTCTATGCATATGCTATTTGCCAGGCAATGTGCTAAGGAGCTCACTTCACCTTGCAACAATCATACTATCAGATGGATGGTTTTATTATCTCTGCTTTACAGATAAACTAAGGCACAGAAAGAGTTGTAAATAAACTGATATTTTGTAAATGCTGTTATTTAAAATATCATTTCAATATTCCAGTAATCTATAAAGTATTGTTCTACCCAGTTTATGAACACTAAGAACACTAAGAACTCAAAAGACTCAGTTTAAGAACACTAAGCCTCAAAAAGATTAAGGGATTTATACAAATTTAGTAGGTGGCATATCTAGAATTCAAACTCTGGTTAACCTCTCTCTAAAAGTGCTTTTATTTTCCCTTCAGCAAATAACTTTCCTTGAACTGAACAGATAATAAAAAAGAAACCAAACTATAAGTCAGTCCATTTGCCGTCTACTGCCAAGTGTGGCACCCTTGTGGCCCTTCATCTTTTTGAGACACTCCTCTTTATCCACAGAAAGATGTGGGTTAAGATGGCTAAGTAAAGGTCTCAAAAACCCCTAATAATTCTAAAAGTATGTTTATGTTTAGCATTACCTGGCTATGTAGGTATATTTGCAAAAATGTATGTGACTACGGTCAATCTCATAAATTGTGTAAACAACCCTACTTTGTGCTTGACCCAACAAGCAACATGTTGAAGAGTATGAACTCACAAGGAAAGTCCTCTGTGAGTTTCCTTAGGTGAGACAATTTGGCTTTTTCTCTCCCTCCCTACTTTTTCCATTCTAACTGGCAAGGCCAATGAAAATCGCTCTTGTGTAATTTTGAAAAGGAGCCCAACATGCCGTCAAGAGTTGGATCAGAAAGCAGCAATGGGTTAGACTCACGGTCTCCGACCTCTTGCCTGGCTGAGGGGCAGCAGCAGCAACAGCAGGAGCATCTGAAAGGTCTCTGCATTGTCATGATTTCCCGGCCCATGCAGTCAGTGACCCGGAGGACGAAGGGCCTTAGTGAGTGATAAGCATTCCTGGTAAAGTCATCTGTGTCCTCATTTACGAGGTAAACCATTTGGCCTGAGTTGTTTTTAACATCATATCTATTATTGGTTTCAAGACGTGTTATCACTGTAAAAGAAAATGAGAATGTCATCTTAAATTAGAACCAGTTAAAATGGGCCTCACGAAGGCCCATTTTAGTATTTTTTTAGGGGCGTTGAAAGCAAAATAAAATTTAAAACTTCAAGTGAAATTTATACAACTGATTAGAACACCCCCAAAATCCATGTCCTTCAAAACTAAGTAACCTGGGAAATGCAAAACATTTCTTTTAAGAAGTTCATTGAAGATGCACCAATGGGCAACAAACTCATGAAAAAATGTTCACGTAGGGAACTGCAAATCCAAACCACAATGAGATACCATTTTACTCCAATGAGAATGGCACATATTAAAAAGTCCCCAAACAACAGATGCTGACATGGATGTACAGAGAAAGGAACTCTTATGCCCTTTTGGTGAGACT